TATCTGAATGTATGATATCAGAGTACTGAATTATGAGTACTGACTGTAAATTTAAGATTGCTTAACAGAGCTGTTAAGTAATTATATCAGATCTTTACTGCAGAGTTCAGACTATATAGACTACTCTTAACTATGCAGATAAGTGATTTCAGTGAATCTGTTTTAAATTCAGTGAGTTGTCTTATATAGATCTTCTTAGTGAGATGCTTATGAAGATATATTATCACTATATTCACTTAACAGAGTATTTAACTGTGTAGTACTGCTATTATAAAAAGAATATAATTAGCAGTATCAGTGATAATAGAAGTATAGATCTCTTCTCTAAAATTCTTCTTAAGCTAGTTATTATAAATCACTCAACATGATTTTCTAAGAATATTATCAGAATTAGTATTCAAGTTCACAGATCTATCTTTCTCAAGAAATACTTAACAGCTCAGAGTAGTCAGTTCATCTCTCAGAATATCAGATTTAGAGATCAAACTTTATATATTACATCTCTTCAGATCAGTAATCTTATATTATATGAACTTCTTTTAATAATCTTCTACTCTCTCTGACTGAGATGTGATATTCTTGTAGAACTTTAAAAGATTATCTGTAATAAAACTTAAAATATATGTAGTCAGCAATTTCATAGGCTGCAATTATGTAGAATTCAGATTATTAATATCAGAAGCATCTTCATTATCAATCAGATAAATATCAGGTTTCAGTTCATCAGTATTATTAATAGATTTCACAGATGTAATGACTGATTTCAATTTTTCAGTGATCAGAAATCTCATATTACTACTGATAATAATTTTATCAGATTCAGAATGTCATAGATAATATATTAATATATCACTGAATTTAGCCCCGGTGGCCGAATGGTTAATGCGGCCACCCGGTAGCGCCTTGGCGTGGGAAACCAGGGCGTGTGAGTTCGAAACCCGCAGGGGATATATTAAATCCGGAACTCAAGCATCTCAGGTTTCTAATAAATACAGAGGTGTACAAATCACTTCAATAAAATTGCTCTATGTTTCTGAGCTGGGAAGTTATTATCACATGTATCTAATTGTCACTTCTTTGTATTTCCTATGTTCTTGTTATCTTGATATGATCTCAACACCTGTATTTCCTTCTATATAATCAACACTTAGCCTGTATTTAACATCACGCAAGGACTCATTATAAGCTCCGCTTGCATATGAGTATAATGAAAGAATAATAATAATAATAATAATAATCACTGAATTTAATAATATAATAGAAATTAGTATATAAAGAAAGCTTATCTGTGAGCTTCTGAGATTTATATAAGTGAATAAAAACCTCTGTACTTAATCAGCAAAAATGCCTCACATTCAGTGAGATATTTATAAGTGCATATTAAGAAATCTTATATAAACTTGAAATCACAGAAGTCTCTGCAGTAGAGAATCAAAATTTCAAGTTATAAAGAACTGTAGATATGAGAGTATTATTAATTATTATAATCACTGTCTCTAGAACATCTGCTCAGAACTTCTTAGAGAGATTATCTTTCAAAAGAGCAGTTTTAACTCATCTTATAATAGTGCAGATCTCACATTCAGAAACATTATTCTGATGTGATAAATGTAATACTATTGATTCTCATTTAATATTATATGAATTCATAACTGTGTGTATATATGTGAATTGAAAAACATCATCAATATCAGTTCATAGAAAAGCAGAGACTGTATATCTGAGATTACTTATAAATCTGAGTTATAACTCAAAGTATTGAACAGTCTTATTCTTGAACTTTAAAAAATATACTTAACAGTAGTGAGTTGCATCACAGATGATAAGTATTTAGTATTTAATTCTCTAATGAGACTCTAAGAGATAATCAGAGAGATCTTTCAATGTATATTTATTATCTACAAGATTAATATAAATCTTCTTAATAAGTTGAATAGATCTAGACATCAGTGTTTTTGAATAATCTTATATTATACCTGTCTTAACACATTTCTTGTAAAAGAACTTAGTTTTAGAATCTTTAATTATGACTTCAGTATAAGAATTCTTGATCATAGTAATTATAGCATCAGTGTGAATGTGACTGAGATCACAGTATCAGTTCAAAAGAGTCTTTGATATTCTTGTATTCTTGAGATCTGTATTCAGAACTGTAGAATCAATGTTATTAACAGTAGTAATAGCAGTCATAGAAAGATTAACTTTTCAGTTAAAATTATACTTATATAGCATTGTAATATACTTGACTGCCTTGTTCAGATAATTGAGATTCTTATTAAACTCTCATTCATTGATCTTATATATGTTATTCTGAGCAGTTTAAACTGTATGAAAAATAACATCATTCAAGACTCTGTAAATGAAAAATGAGAGAATGATGAAAGACAATGTAAATCAGAATCTCTGATCTTCAAGCTTTATAAATAAGAGCAGATTAACTGTAATATTAGAAATATAGTGAATATTCTGTAAGTTAACATCATCACTCTCAATCTTCAAGATAATAGTCTCAATCTTCTTGATAAACTTAGTTCTCTCAGTGACAGAATTAACAGAGATATTATCATTAAAAGATTTAATATTTGAAAAAGAATAAAGCTCATTCATCATATTCAGACTTGCACATGTGTTTAAATATCAAGATCTAGAGAATGATTTTTCAGTGACTGTGAAAGAGAAATAGAACTCAATCTTTGTAATTACTGCATTTACTGCTGATTAAGAACTTATCAAGTCATTCTTCTTCTCTTTCTTCATGTATACAGAAAACTTGACCTTGCTAAGTGCGTCACTTGATCTTGTTACATAATCATGACCCCGACCTCGCATAATATAGTAATAATCAGTTGGTAATTGACTTTCAACCTTTCAATTCACTCATTTATTCAGCTTATCAATCAATCAAAGCATGTATAGCTGATTCATAATCAATTAAATAAACAGATAAATTTATATAGAATATAAAGAGATATTTTACAGAATTTTAAAATATATCAATATAAAAATATTTAATAATTAATTTTAAATTGATTTTAAATTGATTCTGAATTAATTATAGTAATAAAAATAAGTTCAATTTATATATTTAAGTAATTAATAATTGATTGAAAATCAGTTGATAATCAATTTAGTATTATTATTAAATTCAAGAATAATTTCAGTATTAAATTGATTTTGAATTGACTTTGAATTGATTATAGTAATAAAAATAAATTCAATCTATATATTTAAGTAATTAACAATTGATTGAAAATCAATTAATAATCAATTCAGTGTAAATTATATAAATACTTACTTTATTATTAAATTCAAGAATAATTTCAGTATTAAATTGATTTTAAATTGATTTTGAATTGATTGTAGAATTGATGATAAATAATTAAGTAGTTTCAAATTACAAGAAAAGATGTATTAAGCAAGGTCAGATAGTAGCACGGGTCATATTTACGAGGTCAGCTTACATAATGAGGTCAAGTGACATACTTAGCAAGGTTAAGTTTTCTGCTTTCTGTCTTTCTTCTTATCATTCTTCTTATCATTCTTCTTTTTCTTTTTATCAGAGTGTAAGATGAAATATCTATCAACAGTATATTCATATCTTCTGTAGTGAGTACACTTTCATACAGATATGCTTTTATCTTTATCTTTATTCTTATCTTTATTCTTATTCTTTTTCACAGTTATAGAATCAGTCTGAGACTGCTTTTTTCACTCAGTGATAATCTTCTTAAATGTACAATTGATCAGTTGCTTCATTAAATTATTAATATTAATATTAATAATGAATTTCTGATCAGTGAAGAAAAACTCATTTAAATATATCTTAATAAACAGTCTTTGATAATTCTGTAGATTGTTGAGAAAAAGATTATAATATACATTCTCAGTACTCTGACAGAGCTTCTTATAACAGATAATAAGATAGTAAAAATATCTCTGAAAAGTAAGATAATTATTCTTCTTAACTTATAATTTTATCAATTTCTTGAAGACATTAACTCATTCTTCAGTCAGTGATATTATATATTTAATATTAATCTTATCTCACAGAGCTGCAGTATTATCAGCTTTCAAGATTTTAATAGTGATTCAAACATTTTTAATAAGACTTAATAGTATACATCTATATAGAGACTTGAAATAGATTCTTCACTTCTCAGAGTTAATATAATATGTAAAAAAGAATTCTCATTGAGTTCTTAATAGAATATCAGTTTTATTAATAACTTTTATATCAGTCAATATATCAATATATCAGACTTTATAATTAAAGTTATTAAATATGATCACTGATTTAATATCTAGTATATATTTAACTTTCTTCTGATATTTCTACAACTCATTTCTCATAGTGTCTTTTTATACAGAAATAGATATAGTAAGATATTAAGTGATTTCAGCTGCAGTTATTTAATTCTATAGTATTATCTATATAAGATTTATAAGATTGCCTGCAATGCAGTAAATAGATTAATTCAGATTATTATTAAAAGTCAGTATTCTAAGAGTGAGAAATGATGAAGAATTTAATAAGTTGAAATAAACAGATTCTATAGATAAATATTAACTCTACTTTTCTTTATTCTAAAGTTTCTTTATTATCTTATTATTAAATTTCATACTCTGATAAAAACTAATCTCAGTCTCATCTTATAAGTCAGAAGTCTTCTTATAATAAGTGATTATTCTATTAATAAGTTATCTAGTAAAGTATGTAATTCTGAGTCTTAAGCTGAACTCTGAAGTAACAGATATATTACTTATTAAGATAACTCTACTTCTTCTAAATATATATAAAAAAAAAAAAGAGTGATATTCTTCACAATGAAGAACACACTTTTTTAAAAATTTAAAGTATATAAATCTACTAATTAATAGATTCAGAGAAAATGAAATATCTCTAATAAAGAGTAAGAGTCTTTTTAAAAAAGATGAATTATCTGTGTTAAAAAATATTAATACAATATTTTAAAAAGAAAAACATGTTATTCAGGCTATAATCTGTAGAATAGTTTAAGATTGTATTGATAGATCTATCTACAAGAACATAATATAGTGGTGGGTCATGTGATCTAGTGGGATCGCTAACCGCAACGGCCGTAAGGGCCAACAATTATTTCATACAACCTTCAATGAGAAGATCTTGATTGCTAATACAATCGTATCATTAATGTGTGCTCATTGTAACACTAGTATAAAATACCCATTTGACACATTTGTCACTATAGACTGCCGTACTAACCTGGTTCCTAAACCCCCTTTTCTGCCTCTTCCTTTTCAATGGCCTCTGCCAGCTCACCTAGGGTATTGAATCGCCATCCAAACGCAACTTTCTGATTCTCAGCTCCAATATATTCCGCAACATTCCCACCCATTCCATCTGCTCCTTCCCCTCTAGCAATCCATGCGCTGTGCATGCCAAATTTTTTCGCCGGCTCATGGTCGTGGAACAAGCTTTGCGCAACATGCAAGATATTCTCCTTCTCCGCTCCAAAATCTGATTTCAACCGCGACAACAGGTATTCAAAGTTTCGGTGGTCCGGCTTATAGGAGCCAATGTCCTGCGCGGTATAGACGGCATCAAAAAAGGGTTCTGCCTCCTTTAAGCCTTCATGAAGTCCGTTTAACGGACCGCGGAGCGTGTTCCGGAAAGAGGCGCGGTCCACATTCGATAAGGGCACAAGCTTGTAGTGCTTCTTTAATTTTCGCATCGCATCAACGGTGTCCGGGAATGCGGGCCAGGTTCCAATTCTAGCTCCAAATGCTGTGCCTTCTTTGTCTAGAAGCGAAGATGCGTCTTCCGTATTCGTGGCGGTTGGGAGAACTTGTAACTCTTTTGCGAGGGCTTCATACGAAGCTTTGAGGATCAAATCGTAAGACTGTTTTGGGTTCGCCAATTGGAAGATACGTTCATGTTTATTTAACGCACAACCAAGAGCAACATGGTCTGACTTTAGAGGATGTGAGTCTGGGAGACGGGCAACAAGTGGTTGAAGGGCCTGGATAATTCCCTTCTCCCAATCAATTAACGTCCCATAAATGTCGAAAGAAAGGACCGAAAATGAGGTTAAGGAGCGATTGGGCGCCATGATGAAGTTTGACTGAATATTAGGCAGCTTCGAGATACAGAGCTGGAAGCTTGGAATGACAGGGATTCCGGCTTTTTATATCTCGTTCCTCGTCGACTGCGGGGTCCAACAATGGGATAGGATAGTGGGGTGAAACATTGTCAGGAAAAAGAGGTTATACACTACTGAACGCCACCAACATCGTATTACTGAACGCCACCAACATCGTATTACTACAATATTTCTCATCATCATCAGCTTACTACAACACTCGTCTAATACTCGCTTATGCTAGCTCTCTTGGCTCGCACATATATTTTACTATAAATAGCTCCATCTTTTGTATGAAATAGATATATTAGATAGTGCATGGATAATATAACAAGCAGATCTTGATACAGATAAGATTCATATGTCTTCAACATATTCATCCATGACACCCAATCTGACAGTTATGAGCCCGGTAAGCAGCATCTGAAGAGAAGTGCAATACACCGATCCCAATCCTCATTCAAACTGATAACTATCATTTGAACTGAGATGATTGATCCTCATTCATATACAGTCTGATCTACTCAACTGTCATACCTGATTCCCAGTAAGCAGTATCTGAAGAGAAGCGTGATACACTGATCCCAATTCTCATTCAAACTGATAACTATCATTCAAACTGAGATGATAGATCCTCACTCATATACATTCTGAAATACTCGACTGATATACACTCTGAATTCTGATCATATCTATCCTCAAATACTTGAACCGATTCCTCAATCCATTCAATATAACTGATATGACAGACAAGACAATGTCTAGTGCGACAGTACACCTTAGCATTCCTGAAGATTGGAAACTTTGATACAAGCATATGCTAGGATATGCAAAGAACAAGAAGATATCAGACTTCATCAATCTTGATAAACCTGATATCTTCTCTGAACTAGAAGAACCTCTGAAACCTGAGAGTTCAGAAGAAGCCACTGCAGAGGCCAAGATAGCATATGACATCAAGGTCACTGTGTGGAAAATCAAATATATGAAATATGAAAAAATGAATGAAGGTATGACAAAGATATGAGATGTCATATGAAGAACAGTGAATGTCACAGAGCTATGACATGTACACAGTGAGAATGATGATGTGAAGAAGATTATCTATTCATTAAGAGATTGTCTCTCACTCATGACTGCAGACTATCAAGATGATGTGAGAACCTGATACCATGATCTCTGCAAAGCACTGAAAAACAGAGGTATAGAAAAGTGATTAAATGACTGATCACTCATTGAAGATGATATCAAAGAGATGAATATAGCTGAACAGTTCAACTTGAAGAAAGACTTCTTAAATATGAATCTAGCTATTGATGCAGGATATGCACAAGCATGAGCAAAGAATGTCTGATGTGATAAAGATGTCATATCTTTGATAGAGTTAGTTAAGAACTTCAAGAAATGGTATAGAGAAATAGGTATTCTCAAAGAAGATAAATCTATGAACTTCACTACTCTTAATGAAAGATCAGTGACATTCAGAAACTGTATCTGTGAAGCCTGTCACTGATACACTCAGTGCTACTATCTCAATTCATCAAGGAAGCCATCTGAATGAAAGAAAAATGAGGAGAAGAGAACTCAGATTGATCAAGCTCTTAAGAATCAAGAATTGAAGAGATGTATTGATCATGCAATATCTAGAGATTCATTCACAAATATGAATATGGTAGATGTCAATGAAGCAGTTCTAGAGAGAATGATTCTGAAGCAATCAGTTTCTCAATCTATCAATCATCAATCTATTGATCATCAATCTATTAATTATCAACCTATTGATTATCAATCTATTAATCAGCAAATCTGAAAAATATTGATGAACTCTTCACATTCTCACTTCTATCTCTGAAACTCCTGGATCTTTGATACTGATGTGGAACAGCATATATGTAATAATCAAACATGTTTTCTATTCTTTACACCTGTGAACAAGAATGCGGAAGTCTATACAGGCAATTTCAGCACTAAAGTTGAAGATTATGAAACTGTTAGAACTATCATGATAAATGAAGCAGGAAAGCAGTTCAATGTCAATCTCATCAACACAGCTTACATTCTGAATTTCCATACAAATATCATTGCATGGAAACCATGTTTTCATATAGAAGGCATCTATTATGATGAAAAAGACTTCAGATTGTGAAAACACACAGATAATACAATCTTTGCACATGTTGAAGTATTTGAGAGGTTGCTAGTTACAGAATATAATAGTAAAACAGCTGTTTTACTAACTATCTTGGAAAAATCAACTACTGAAGCTGATGCAGCTATCATATCACACACATCTAACATCACTATATCTGAAAAAATGATATCTTCAAATTCTTCAACTTCTACAAATCATCCTTCTTTCAACCTGTCAATATGCATAAAACCTTCTCAAAAACCTAAGATCTCTATAGCTACTGAGTCAACATGGCATAAGAGATTAGAACATTCATTGAAAATCATCATTCAAAAACTTGCAAATGATGCAACTGGCATTCAAATCACTTATCAAGAAGATGCTGTGAATGAGCTTATCACTGAGCTTTGCAAACCCTGTCATCTATCTAATGCAGAAAATCAAATATCTAGATATTCTCACATTAGATCTCATACACTGAAATCAACACCTGAATCTACATCAGGGTCAGTGAGCTCTAATGTTGATACAGGTTCTAATGTTGATACAGGTTCTAATATTAATACAGATCTTAATGTTAATATCAATACACATACAGCTGCAATAGATAATTATACACAAGCTTGAAATCACAGAGCTGCTCATCTTGTGACAGTTGCAAATGTCAAAGTCAATTCTTTTCAAATGATCAATGAAGCATTCTCTCATTCTCATTCTCACTCAGACTTCTACAAGTCTTAAAATTTATTTCCTAATACTGTTTTTACTATTATCAATAATACATCTATCTCAACAGTATTCATACTGACTTCAAGAATTCATAGATCTCAACTGTCAGATTCACTGAATCACTGAGCAGATGTTGAAAAACACTCACATTGTGAAGAATTGAAGAACACTAGGCTTCATCTCTATGTCAGAGAATTGCTGCCTCTTCTCAAATAATTAATTAATTGTCTTCTTCTATGTAAATGATATTGTCATTCTATTTGAAAGATATCAATCTGAGAACATGTTCAATTCAGCGATATTACAGTTGATTGAGTGCCTATGGCTCAGATACCAGTGAATGGCCTCACTAAGACTCTGTCACACCAGAAACATACAGAATTTGTCAAGATGCTAGGCCTAGTTGATATATCAGATATCATCAAGATGTAAGCAGAATAAATAATCTATCTTAATGTAATCTCTACAGATTCATCTATACTCTTTTTATTACAGATTCATCTACACTCTTTTTGTTGCAGCTTCATTTACACTTTCTTTTACATGTTACATTCACTGAAGAGAGTGTGTCAGAAAAAAGAGGTTATACACTACTGAACATCATCAACATTGTATTACTGAACACCATCAATATTGTATTACTACAATATTTCTCATCATCATCAGCTTACTACAACACTTATCTAATACTTGCTTATGCTAGCTCTCTTGACTTGCACATATATTTTACTATAAATAGCTCCATCTTTTGTATGAAATAGATATATTAGATAGTGTACAGATAATATAACAAGCAGATCTTGATACAGATAAGATTCATATGTCTTCAATATATTCATCTATGACACTCAATCCGACAGTTATGAGCCTGGTAAGCAGCATCTGAAGAGAAGCATGATACACTGATCTCAATTCTCATTTGAACTGATAACTATCATTTGAACTGAGATGATTGATTCTCATTCATATACAGTCTGATCTACTTGACTGTCATATCTGATTTCTGGTAAGCAGCATCTGAAGAGAAGTGCAATACACTGATCTCAATTCTCATTCAAACTGATAACTATTATTTGAACTGAGACAATAGATTCTCACTTGTATACATTCTGAAATACTTGACTGATATACACTCTGAATTCTGATCATATCTATTCTCAAATACTTGAACTGATTCCTCAATCCATTCAATATAACTGATATGACAGATAAGACAATGTCTAGTGTGACAGTACATCTTAGCATTCCTGGAGATTGGAAACTTTGATACAAGCATATGCTAGAATATGCAAAGGACAAGAAGGTATCAGACTTCATCAATCTTGATAAATCTGATATCTTCTCTGAACTAGAAGAATCTCTGAAACCCGAGAGTTCAGAAGAAGCCACCGCGGAGGCCAAGATAGCATATGATATCAAGGTCACTGTGTGGAAAATCAAATATATGAAATATGAAAAAATGAATGAAGATATGACAAAGATATGAGATGTCATATGAAGAACAGTGAATGTCACAGAGCTATGACATGTATGCAGTGAGAATGATGATGTGAAGAAGATTATCTGTTCATTAAGAGATTGTCTCTCACTCACAATCGCGGACTATCAAGATGATGTGAGAACCTGATACCATGATCTCTGCAAAGCACTGAAAAACAGAGGTATAGAAAAGTGATTAAATGACTGATCACTTATCAAAGATGATATCAAAGAGATGAATATAGCTGAACAGTTCAACTTGAAGAAAGACTTCTTAAATGTGAACCTAGCTATTGATGCAGGATATGTACAAGCATGAGCAAAGAATGTCTGATATGATAAAGATGTCATATCTTTGATAGAGTTAGTTAAGGACTTCAAGAAACAGTATAGAGAAATGAGTATTCTCAAAGGAGATAAACCTATGAACTTTGCTACTCTTAATGAAAGATCAGTGACATTCAGAAACTGCATCTGTGAAGCCTGTCACTGATACACTCAGTGCTACTATCTCAATTCATCAAGAAAGTCATCTGGATAAAAGGAAAACAGGGAGAAGAGAACTCAGATTGATCAAGCTCTTAAGAATCAAGAATTGAAGAGATGTATTGATCATGCAATATCTAGAGAT